TTAAGTGAAAATAAAAAATGTCGATATTATTTCAATATAAATATTATCAATATTAAATAAAGAAGTATTTTTCCAAATAATAAAGTGCGCGTTTCCGTGACTAATTTGAAAATAATATTCAACATTGCCATCTTATATCTATGTGTATGAATAATGTAACATATTTATAAGGAGCACCGAAAGACTCCTTCCTTAACAAAATGATTATTAGGAAAATATAATTAACAAATTAATATCGCTTTATATGTATTAAAATCCAAAGGAGGACATACTCAATAAAAATTACTGCAATACACCAAGGAATACAGACCTGTGGTGTCATTTGTGGTATAACAAGAGATTTTAATGATCCCTTCAATCGTTCAAACACTGATAAATCTGTAGGTGCTTTCAATTGCACTTCATCTTTTGAAAAGAAACTTCCTATAAAAAACAAGAAAACATATGTAAAACTGTAACGATGAAAAATTTTATATTTCATGTATAAAATATATCTTACCAATAGTAACTGTAAGATCACCATGAGCCGCGGCTATTGCTTTTAATAATTCAAATGCTTCCATGCTAAATAAAAATACGACCGGTATAGATACATCATCCACTTCTTTTCCATCTCCTGACATCGCAAATATAGGTGAAGTTGCGGCACTAGAACCATCAACATTATCCAAGACTATTCCAGCAATAGCGCCCGCTTGTTGAATTCGCCTTGCCTGTAATTATATTTAAATAATTATATAAAAATCATTTTAGAAATATGAATAATATAATTAGGATATATTTACCTTTTCTATAAACATACAATTACCCCGACCCATTATCGCTATGTTGCCTACGAGTACATCTGCATTGTGAAGATCAGTACATGCGGTAGATGGAAATGTAAAAACCACTTTTCCGGTTACTTTGTTTAGCCCTTGTAATTCCAACCCAAAATGCGCTGGTCCAGCTAAAAATGCAACTCTCTGAGGTGGATTTGTGTTTGGTTTTACAAATGTGACAGCCTGTGGTTTAGCTTCAGTTTGCTGAGAGTGCATTTTACTAATTTCCACCATTTCTTGCATAAATAATAAACCTTCCTCTGAATCCTGCGATGTTTTTGCCTATAGAATGAATATAAAAGCTTCTAATTTGTAAATAGATAGAAATATAACGAGTAAAACATTCAAGTATATTAACAGATACAAAGAAATTTCATTTTACATTAGAAAATTTGTGCAATAATTGAACATGTCCGTCTGCCAAAGTTAAAGTTGTTATTCCCATATCACTCAACAATTTTAAATGTTCCAAATTATTTGCCTATAGCAGAAAATTATAGTTTTTAACATTTACTTAATACTTAACATTGATTAAAATACTTTCAAAAATTTTCTTACCTGAAATTGTGCTGCACTTAATCTTCTTTTTATTGCACGTCGCGGATATACATCTTCAACCATATTTCTCAAAGGTTGTCTAACTGATGCAGGAAATAAGTGTAAGCTGTTAGGACAAGTGCGATCCATTTCGTCCACATGTACAATATCTCGCTCAAAATCTTGCTTCATTTCATAAATTATAAACATTGTAAAATTATAATATATGATAAATTTTTATATTATCAGAAAATATTAATGTTATCGCGTACTTTTAATTATTTAATAATTTGAAAATTAAATTTATTATACTTACAGAAGAAACATTAGTTCTTATTGAAGCAAGTGTTAATGGCAATAAATGTCCTTCGGTTGTAAAAATAAATTCATCCAAATCTAAAAGTAGTTCGCTTGGCTCCGCGAATAACAGAAATAAGTATTTGAAAGTTTCCGATAATACAAAGCTATCCATTGTATCATCATGCTCATTAGTTCTAACATCTGATACAGCTGCATAACCACACGGTACTCTAGCATAAGTTTGCAGACTTTTGAGTACCTTACGTCCAACTTCTAAATAATAATGATCACCAGTAGCACGATATAGGAAGTACGTTGATTCTAGAAATTCTGGTCTTAATGGATGATGTCCCCAGTGTACCTAATTATTTAAATTGAGAAACATTTGTATTAATACCTAATTAAAATTTATTTATTTACATAAATAAATATTAACCTGAAAATCAGTAGTAAATGCTTCTGGTATAAAATTATGTCTTTGCATAACTTGATACAGCATTTCATGCGTTTCTACAGCAGGTTTAATATCGCCTTTTAATACCTAAAAACAAAAAATTAAAATATGATACAATAATAATGATAAAAACATATGCAAATATGGAAACTTTGATCAATCTTACCTGTAAGCCAGGCCAAAATGCCAATAAAGCATCCATAAAATTTTTGGAATTTGTATTTGGTCTATGCATGTGTACATCCAACAACATTGGTCCTTGGCTTACATACTTCATAACGGCCTGATAATGTTTATTAAACCGCCCAAGATATTTCTCATCACCTACATTAATATAAAAAATTTAACTGTAGTATAATAAATTTGATAATAAAGCTATAATAATAAAAGTAATTTAACAAAATTACCTAATAAAATGTAGGCTTTCAAACAATACTCATAGTAAGAGTCTATACCTGCTCCTACACCAGAATCTCTTCTTACCCAATCACCAGAATGTACATTTAGCACAGACCCCATTAAATCAGTACCACGATGGCGCATTCTCCATAAAACATCCATTGCTTTTTGTGCTTTTTCCTTTTTAATGTAATAATGTATTAATATTAAGGAATTTATTACTGATTCTTGCAAAATATTACAAAATGTTATACCTCAAAAATTGGTTCTCCTGTTAATCTTGACAATGCTGCCATTTCTAAAATCATACTACCTGCACAGGCAGTACATGTTTCTTTTGATACTTCTAAAGGTACACCTTTCATTCCATATTTCAGATTTATCTAAACAAATTATAGTAATAAGTATCCATTGAAGAATATTTTTCATTACAATGTGATAAACAGAAATTGAATTACTCTGCCATATGGTATTCCTGTAGTTGTATTAAATGCAGGTAAAAATCTGTATCCTAAATCTTTGGCTAAATTTAGAAGTTCACCCCTATACCATGGCATTATATCAGCTCTTTGTTGCAAATATTCAGCTAGTATATGACCACTTAAAAGACCTCTGT